TGTCTGAAAGAAGAGAATGTAAGTTGACTTTCGTATAGCATATTCTCAGAATTAAGCCACAGTGTTCCAGTAACTAGGCTCCCTTGAATGGGAAGTGGGATCTAGGTCTTTGTTGTTAAGGATCAAGGCTTTGGTGCTGTTTTAGTATTTTAAGGTCAAAACTCACAAATGTATTGTTTAGGGCTTTTATTTTGTCAATGATAACTGTAAAGAATGGTTTGTAAACTGCTTGGCACAAATATACTTATTACATTAAAAAATAATCCTCTGTTTTTACATTTAAGTTTTATAAAACACATGTTTTTTTGTGTCTTAGTCTCATCATCACAAACATCAGTTATCAGTATATAACACTGAAAGTGCTATTAAAATATATTTTAAATTAATGTTAAGCCAGACAAACTTGCTTTTACAGTATGTAGAGAGACTTATGCTTATCAGTTATTCAAGATTTGGTAATGAGAGTTTTTGAAATCACATTATTTTTTCATTTATTTACTAAGCTCTATATTTTATTTAAAAAACCCATAAAATTATAAAGAAAAGAAAATCATTTCTAATCCTAGTGGCCAGAAATTATTATAACTATGTGTATATACATAATTGGGATCATTCATATTCTGAGGGTGCATACACACGCACGTGGAGTTGTCATCTTTTCACATACTATATATTTGAAAATTTTTGTGTTAAATAATCTTACAGAGCATGATTGTTATGCTATATCTATCAGCATCAGTGTGTTCCATCTTACAGATATGCCATTATTTATTCATCCTTCCTTTTTTGGACATTTAGATTTCTTTAACTGTTTTCCCTTTTGTAAGCAATATGGTGTACATGAATATTTCTGCATATCTATGATTTCATTTGATTAAATCTTTAGAATCTATTAGGTTGATTGATACTAAAGTTTTTAAGATTTTAAACATTGCCCTCTAGAAAGTTATGCCAATTTACTTTATCCACAGTGCATTAGAGAGACTGATCATTTAAATCCCTTTGCCTGGTTTTAAATCTTTGTAGATGAAGAATGACTTATATAATTTGCATTTCTTTAGTTACTAGTAAGTTAGAATTTTCCCCTTATTGGCCCTTTGCACTTGTGTGTGTGTGTGTGTGTGTGTGTGTGTTTGTGTTTATTCTAATAGGGTGCTTATTTTATATTTTGGCATTTTTAGTAATGTGTCCTCTCCTAAAGCCATATGGCATGGGGTAAAGAGCATGAACTTTTAATTCATTCAGACCTGGGCCTGGATTTTAGTTGTCACTTAGATATTTTCCATATGTCATTGGGAAAACTACCTGTCACCTATGAGTTCCCTGATATGCAGAATAGGACCATTATGAGATTTAAATGAGCCACTTATTTCAGAAGAGTCACTCGATGGTAGCTACAATTATCCTCCTCTTTCTCATCTCTGCATTATCATCTCCCTGCCATTTCTCTGTTAAGATATTTTTGAGCAAAATTGAAGGAAACCTTTATCCAGGTCTGCTGTTTGCTTGGAAACAGGGTGGGTAGAGGCAGGTGGACATCTGAGAACATAAAATTTAGGACACAGGGCACACACATTTACCCTCCCATGTCAGCATGGTAAGTGGAGATGACATGGGAACAGATTTTGGTAGACTTGAGCTCTTACACTTGGATTGTTTGTGGGTTTTTTTGTTTGTTTGTTTGTTTGGCATGAAAGACACCATCGAACGAAGGTTCTCATAGATAGACTACTGTGACGAGAACGCAGAACTGTGAAAGTGACTGCAGGACTTTAATTAGCAAATCTGCCACAGTCGTGGCACACTGGGGCCTTAACAAACCCCAAATTATTTAGGGACAGATGCTGGACTCAAGGCTACAAAGGAAGCCAACCACTCTTACATATTTACACATTTAATTCAGTGTCTAACCACAATTGAAATACTTTTAAGTTCCTCCTGCCAGCTCCGCATTTCAACCAGAGAAACCAGTATTCGATATTATTATATCTCACAAGTGATAAATTGTCATAACCAATAAAGCTAATTGCCCTCAACTGTCTTATTCCTACCAGTACACTTTTAATATTAGCATTTCAAAATACATTTAAAAAAGATGAGTTCTACCAAAGTGACTTCCCTTGTCAGTCACACTAAACTGATTAAAAAGACAGCATTATAAAATTTCTTGGTAGGAACTAACTGGTCTTTAATAACGGAGGTTAGTGGTCTTTTTTCATATTGTCTACAATAGAATATAAAATTAATTTTAATAACAAATATTTATCCTTTTGTAATACTTGATTCCTGACATAAATAATTATAAGACTATGTTATTAAGTCAACTCTTCTAAAATATAGCAAATGATTATGCTAAATGGGTACTAGAACAGGTTTATTTGGCTGATACCACTAAAGATCATGTGAAGACTTCTTTGTTTTGTGAAGACTTCTTTGTTTTGAAGTTGTAACTTTTATTTTAAAACTTTTTGTGATTGGGGCTCCCTTTTGTCTTTTAAAGGTCTCTTCTCTTTTTTTCAGAAAGCAGTTCTGATTTAAGATGCCATGCATGTATAGATCACTGGTGATTAAAGACCTATTGCTTTTAAGACATTGCACTGTTAACAGCAGGTGATGCTGAGTGTGGTGAACATTTCACAATGCAGTGTATATGTTCATTAAAACATCATGTTGCAAAATGGTTGCATCATTTTGTTAAATAGGTACAATTTTTGTTAATTATACTTCAATAAAGATGGAAAACAACAAAACAAAACAAAACAACAAAATTCAGTAGGTGATAATGACTACCCCACAAAAGGAGCTGACATTTTATTTGAATAGAAACTGTGGTCACAGATAAATATAATATCTAGCAGAATATGATAAATTGTATAGGAGAGATGCAAAAAAGATGAAAGAAAGCTTTGCAAACATAACAAAATAGAAACAGTTTTTGAAAGATAGGGTGAGTTAAAGGAAGTGTTGGGTAAAGGCTAGTGATATAGGCAGGAATCAGGTCTTGGAGAACTTTTATGTCCTTCTAAAATATTTGAGCTTTATTCTTGAGGGAAAGGAGAATGTCAGGAGGCTTTTTAGAATGCCTGCTCCCATTAGAAAGCAATACCTGGCCACTATACAAAATTGGAAAGTACAGAAAAAGTGTGCCAAAGAAATATAATGTCATTTATAAGTTCATTCCCTCTTTCTGTTCCCCACCCCAGTCTTGTCTACCAATTCTGTTTCTGATACACAGTGCCATGATTAGAGCAAGTCTTTGGGAATGGTACTGAGAGGTGCTGTATAATAAGTTGTAGGAGAACAGAATGCAATGAATATGTTGCAGGATAATTTAATTATTAGGTATCTGAGCAGTCAGGAAGGAACGAGAACAATAATCCTTTTAAAGATAAAATCAACAGGAGATTTCAACTAATTGTAAGTGTGTGTGTGTGTGTGTGTGTGTGTGTGTGTGTGAATGAAGAGGAAGATTTGTTAGATGACTGACTGCCTTTTTATGCCCACATGACCCAAATGATCCAGTTGACATCAAACAAGAGAGACCTTACAGGAGGCAGAGGATAAGAGACACAGTTTTGTGTTGGAATACTTTGAGTTTGAGATGCTTCTGTCTTCAAAGGCATCAAACTGGTCCAGAGCGTGGACCGTCTGCATGGAATTCAGGATCCGGGTAGCAGTGGTGATTGCATCCTCTTCTCTGTCTGCAGAGCTTTCACCTGTTTTTAACTCCTCACCCCCCCCCCCCCCCCCCCCCCCCCCCCCCAGCTTTGCTGGCATCTTTTTTATGGACAGTTTCTGAGGTTGTGGAGACAATTGATTTAAGAAGTGCAGCGGTTCACATGGTATTTACAAAGCCATCATTTCTTTTATAAGATTTATGTATGAGGTCAAAGTTAGTATGATCCAAGGGTCAGTGATCCCCAGACTGGACCATTAATCCTGTGGTAATGGAAGCGATGGCAGCTTTCACCTCAAACACACCAAGAATGATGTGACAGCACCGTCCTCCCTGTGCTTTGAAAAGGATTGCTGATTATGGTGTTTTCCTGTAAAGCACTCCTGCCCTTTAGGTTTTGCCTATAAATAAGGGAAGCATGAGACAGATCCCATTTGTAGATTTCACGTGTGTTTACATTTTCAAGGATAATCCACAATCGGTCAATTACATTTGACTCTGGTTCTTGGGACAGTCCAAATGGAAGGGGCGGCTTGTTATAAGAAAGCAGAGTCTTTCCTGCTTTGTGGGGTAGCATGATTAGTTTCAGCATTGGATCGCAGCTGGCCATAGCAGTGCCGTGGCTGGAATCCTGGGTTTCCAAGCTCAGGCTTGTACGGTAGCATCAGTGTCCTCAAGTATATATGCATTCCCTAACAATTGGTTATTTGCGTTTCAGGCTTGTTTTTCAGTTTTCTTCACCATGTTAAAGTCTGGCCTCAGCTTGCAGAGTTTAAAAAGTAGGCAAATTTTACTCATAACCTTTACAAAAATTAAAAATTTTAGTTGGCTAAGTAGGTCTTGATTGGTGCTAGAAATCCTTTCTAAAAAAAATTTTTTTCCCCCTTTTTTCTCCTAAGCTCTGTCAGCATTTGAACCTGTTGAAGATTTTAGAACATTGTGCAACCTTTGTTTTTATTTGCCCCCTGGTAGATAGTGACAAACTTCATGAATGGCTTTGATCTTTGTCTTTAACCTTTGCCATTTTAACTAAGATGTGTCTTGATGTGGGCCTCTTTGACTTCCTCTTGTTTGGGACTTTCTGTACTTCCTGGACTTGTGTGTTTTTTCCTTCACCAGGTTATGGAAGTGTTCAGTCATTATTTCGTCAAATAGGTTCTCGATCCCTTGCTCTCTTTCTCCTCTTTCTTGTACCCTTGTGACGTGAATATTATGCTTCATGTTGTCCCAAAGGTCCCTTAAACTCTTCTTCTTATTATTATTATTTTGAATTCTTTTTTTTTTTTTTTTTTGCTCCTCTGGGTGTTTCCTGCTATCTTGTCTTAAAAAAAAGGAATGCTTTACGAATTTGCATGGCATCCTTGTACAAGGGCCATGCTAATATTCTCTGTATCATTTTAATTTTAGTATATGGGCTACCAATGCAAGCTTTTGATTAGTGTTTAATTATATAATAACAGGCTGTAGTCGAGTCAACTTGACACACAAAAGACCATTACCATTGGGGTGTAGTGTAGTCATCAACCCATTTCATCTAAGGAGTAGGAATCCATTCTAGCTCACCCACCGCTAGGATGCTTTACGTCCCATTACTTTCTCCCATTGTACCAAAGTTAACCTTGAGATTCTCACCCACTATTTGACTCTTAGTTTAGTCTTTTCACATGTTTGCATTTTCTTCCACCACTCTGAGTAAATGCATAATTTCTGGGAGTTTGTATACAGAGTTCCTGTGTTAGAAGCCCCTCTGCCTTTAACCCACACTGTTACATTTGATGATCTTGAAAAAATGATCAAGTTCCCTTCTAGGCTATTTTACTGTTTCTAGGCAAAATCTTAAAACTGGGGTATACTTCCCAAGGTTTTCATGACCCTTGACTTTAGTGTTTAGTTTCCATGATACTTCTAGCCCTTCCATCAGAGGCTTGGTCACCCTTGGGGGCTTGGCATGGGAGGGTGTAAACTTATATACCTGAGGACTCCTGTTCCCTAGGAAAGTCTCACATTTTCTTCCCCGCCTCAAGAACTTCTCAAATGCTCTTTGGTTTGGCCATTGTCCCCCTTTCTCTTTTTTAACCTCAACACCCACACATTCTGTAGGATGCCTCTCTACCTGTTTTTCTGTTCAGACAGTTCAAAATAATCTCCCCCCACGGCCATTAGAGTCACAGCACTGGCCCTGGTTGTGAAAGAAGAAGTGGACACCAACTGCTAAGACAAAGGCTAGAACAGACCTGGACTTGCTGACTCATCCTGCTGCATCTGTACAGGAGGATTAACTTCTGTGAATGAGAACTCAGCCATATCTCTTAGGAGATGACCCCACCGCCCAAAAAAGGTGCCAACAGATGCTAATTACTTCAGTTTTTCTGTGATGATGATACCTCTCCAGTGGGAACTGGACCAAGGCCACCAGTTTATTTTATGCTGGCCACCAGTTGTCAGTTTGTAAAGCATATGTCTCGCATTTAAACCAGAAGTCTGGTTGAGCCGAAAGAGAACATTGCTAATTTCTCATGGGTATGTTTAATTGTTTATAATAGTTTGAAAAATACTGAGAAAAACACGAGCATTGGTGGAATCACTTACTATTCTATTAAACTGTCCACTGGGAAAATTTACCAATTAGGGCTTCACTAACTTAGAATTTGTCCAAATTTAGAATGAGCTAAGTTTATATTTATTTATGATGAAATTTCTTCCTGATTACTCCAGTGCCATAAATTGTTTTGTCAGTGAGATATTAAACTCACTTAAAAAAATTTTAAATATTTTAATAACACATTTGCAGATAAATTATACTAATTATAAGTGGATTCTATTTTGTCTGATGGAAGATATATAGAACCTTCTAAGCTTTATGTTTCATTGATAATTTTTATATATTTGACTGTAATAAAACTCCACTTACCTTGAAATATTCTTTCATCAAATGTCTCTCTCTATAACTTACCTTTACACAGTCAACCATAGTTATTCCAAATTTGAAGAATTTATATCCTCCCTTGGTTTTTTATTATCTAATTGTATGAATTGGTTTATACCAATGATAATACAAAAAGGTATATTTGATTTTATCATGGGTTTTGTATACATTCTACAAATATATGTGGGGATATAGAAATTTACACACTCCATGATAAGAGAAAAACACTATCAAGACATGATTATCTTTGTCAGATGTCAAAGACTAGTTTTTGGAGCCAGAGAATATTCTCTTTTAAGGGATTTTTGGTGGATTATTTTTATATGCATCAACTTGGCCTGGGCCATGGTGCCCATATATTTGGTCAAACATTATTTTAGACTTTTCTGTGAGGGTGTTTTTGAATGAGATTAACATTGAAATTGGTAGACTTTGAGTAAGGCAAATTGCCCTCTATCATGAGAGTGGGCCTTATCTAACCAATTGAAGGCCTTAACAGAAAAAGACTTACCTCAGTGAAGAAGAGGGAGCTCTGTCAGCAGACTGCCTTCAGACTTGACCTGTAACATCGACTTTTCTGGGTCTCCAGCTGCTGACCAACCCTGCAGATTTTGGATTTGTCAGCCTCCCTTTAGAACCCCGTGAGCCAATTTCTAAAAATAAATCTAGCTTACTATAAATATAAATATAAATCATACCATTATAAATACATATGTACACATTCTGTTGGTTCTTTTTCTGGAGAACCTGACGAATACGGGATTCTTTGTATTGCGTTTTGAACTGGAGGGCTGTGCTCTGAGCCACCCATTGTGTAAAGTATGTTTGTTGTTCACGTGCTGTTCCTTAGTTATCCATGAAAACACTAGGCTTACACTTAGTAAATATACCTTAGTCCTTATAGACTTTGTCTTTATCAATTATCTTTATATACACCATGGATATTGCTCTCTGAGCTTCAGATTTCTCGTGGAAAAATAGGAGAAGTGGGCGGGAACTCTCTTTACTTGTTTCTGCCTTACCTACCGGGTCAGCTGGTACAAGAATTAATGGTAATTTGTGTAAAGTTTTATATTGTCTGTAATTTACCTCCAAATACTTTAGTGTATCCATCACAATATTTATGGGTTTAACTTTGTTTTAGGAGTCTTCAGTTAGCATTCCAGAATGCCAATCACGAATCCTCACCCTAGGATTAGTTAATTAGTATTAGAAAGACCCTAATTAGAAGCCTACATCCCAAAGATAGGTAGTTCAAATCTGCACAAGAACTTTTATTAACATTAGAGATGTTACAAATAATTGGTGAAATGAGCAATGTTGAAAATGTGTGAATTGGCCTTAGAAATATTTTATGTTAATTGACTTTGAGTCAGACAGGGCCAGGAAGCTAATAGCTTTTGGAGTAACACCTAATTCTAGTTCTCTTTTGGTCTTATTTTCTGATATGTAGGATTCTGTTGAGTGATCCAGTTGGAAGGTTAGGCACATTCTACCGTAGAAACCTATCACAACTGCTTTAAGTACACCTTCATGCAGGTTACTTGTCAGGGGTCCTTAAGTACAGACATCTGGGACTTGACTGAGCTTACAAGGTAGAGCTGTGGGTTGGTTGTTCATCTTCCTGCTCATCAGTGCTTTTATATGCAGCAGAAAACCCTCACCTATTTAGAATCTTAGGAGACTACTAGTGTGTACCCCCAAATGCCCAATAATAGTGAACTCCAGTTTGGCTTACATTAGTTTGCAATAAGAACCCAACACACTCCCCGGCACACAGTAGGCATTAAACCACTCTCTTACTATCGTGAGTCAGTGAACTCGCCTTGGTTCTGGGGGAAAAAAAGGAAGTTATGATGCATTGTTCTAAAGCTGCCAGAATCCTGCTTTCGGAGGATGGTTTATTGCCAAATTTATTTTTAAAACTTCAAGACATGGACTATCTTCTCCATGCTTTGTCTCAATTCAGAATCTCCTTAGCAGAGCCACTAAAATCATGGGAAGGTGAGTTGGAGTGCTACCAAGGGAGCCTGTGATAAGGGGGGTCTGTTGGTGGAAGCATGTGAGTGCTTGGCTGATGTCCAGGAGCAGGCTGTGCCAAGCCATCATCCGAAACGCAGCAGGCTGGAACCTGGAACATTTTCCATCTTTGATGTGTCAAGAAGATGAGGCGCAACCCAGACGACAGGTAGAACTGAGACCTTGTGGAAGCACTGTGGGAGATTCCTTTCAGTCCATATTTACAGAAAATTCTGAATTTATTTTGACCTGTATTGATTGAAGAAAATGTGTCCTAAGGAAGTAAAGGAAATAAGTCTTTTTTTCTTATTTTTGAAAAAATGTTGCTGTTGTTTCAAAAAAGTGTTGTCACTCAAAACTACCAGAAATGTGAAAAAGAATGATTCTAGTTGAAATCTTATAATACGATTTCTAATCTTAACTGAATTTGTTTTTCATAGCCTTGGATTACTGGGTAAGAAATGTCATTGCTAAGTGTGTTTGTAAGGTGTTACCCCTAAAGGCCTGCCTCTGCCACAAAGCAGGAACAAGGTCTTGTTTCTTTTGATAAAGGAACAGAATACCGTTTTTTGGCTCAGAAACAAGAAGTCTTAAATGTAAACATCCTTTTGTTTGCTTTTCTCAGTCAAATAACAGGAACAATATGAAGGTGACTGAAAAAATGTGTATATCTTGATGGGGTTGACTATTAGGGTCCAGGATGCCCTTGGCCTTTAGATTTTTTTTTCATTGCCTTAACATCATGAGGGGGCTCTGATTATTATTTGAGGAACTATCCGTATTTTTGCAAAGCAATTGTGGTAACATGAATAAAAATAGTAGAACTATTATAAGAATATTTAAAGAATTAAGACCCTGTGGATGAAATGGGAAGTTTTTACCAAGACCAACTTACTTGCATCTCTGAGGTTCATCCTGGTCAAGGCAAAACAAAGCCTGGCAGGAGGTGAGCTGTTGTGTAACACGGTGCCCCGCTCTGGACGCAGGGAGGGATCTGGCAGGCCAGTCAACACTGTTGTATCAAATGAGTTACGTAGATTTTTTGTTTCAAAGGCATTAAGCATCATGGTGGATGAAATATTGAAAACACTTATAAACAAGAGTATAAGGCGAGTGTAGGTATCTGGGGAAATATTTTTATCTTCTCATATTAGCCTGGGAAAACTTTCCTTCCCCCCACATTGAAACAAGCATGGTTGCATGGATTATCTCATTTCATTTCACACCACCTTTATGGGGTAGATATTATTATCATTATAGCCATTTTGTAAGTAAGAAAACTGAGGCTTATAGGTTTTACAATTTGACAAGAGCTAGAGAATTTAAGATGTCTTTAAATTAGATTAAAATTGGAACCATACCAGTTGGGAATAGAGATTAGATAGGAAGATAGATGTAGATACAGAAAGCACAAAATTCTGTGCTCACTTGCAAGTATCTCTGTAAATACTTAGATGTAGCATTATTAGTCAAAGGCATTTACATT